ATTAGTGTATTAATGTAGACTTCTGTTTTATATAATGATATTGTGCTTAGCTTACAATGCTGGAATTGTAGTTGATTTTACTGGCACAGTCACTCTAAGGTAGAAATAAGTTAAAATACGGGTTTGTCTCGGATGAGTTGCCCATCCCAGACTAAAATAGTCAATAAAACAAAGTACTCAGCCACATCATTTTCTCTATTTTTTTTCACGTCTTTTCGTAAAAAATTAAATAGTCAATTAAAATAACCTATTCCCAAATGGGTTTGGTGATCATTTATGGATCTCTAATTCTTTAGAAGTGAAATTAATCTTTAGGTTTTTTAAAAAAAATTTCCACACACTTGGTAAATTTATGATTTTTGTATGATAATGTTAAGTGCAAAATAAATAAATAAATAAATAAAAATAAATATAAAACATATAAAGAAAATGTTTTAAGTAGTTAAAATTCATTCTGAGTGTGATGTGCATTAGACTTAAAATAAATTTCTTCCAACACTTTTATATGTTTTATTTTTGTGAGTCTAACACTATTATTCCTATTATCTAAAAAAAAACCAATATTATTCCTTCCCTTCTACATAATCTAACTATTGTGAAAAATTTATTGAATACAAAATAATACAAAAATTTAATACATTTTAGTATTTTGTTATATTCAATGATTTTTTAAATATTTTTTTGTACAAATTATATATTTTTTAAGTGTATATTTATTAAATCGATCTAAAATTCAAAATTCAAAAAATAATTTTGAAAATTTCAAACCATAATGTTGAAATAACCTTTTAAATTACAAAAAAAGATCAATCAATTTATAACTAGTGCACAAAAGGATATCCGTCAATCAACCTTTTATCAGTTTATTTTTAAAATTATAGTTACCGTCGACACAAATTTGATCTGATTAAGTGGCTATTGATTTCTGATTAGCATTATTTTTTGCAGGGATAAAGTACTCGATGAGTCCTACGTATTGAACAGTTCAGATTATTGATATGAGCTCCGTACTAGGCCCACAGAGACCCAACAACGCGCTTCAATTGGAAAACCCAATTGGAGAGCCTGAACCTATAAAATAACACTCAAGAGTTGTCTGCTTTTCTTTATGCATATATGAACGAAGAACAGGAAAAAAAAAACAAAAAAAAAAAAAAACAAAAGGTTGTTACTTGCATAAAGCCTAACTTGACAAGTGGCCGGTTTGTCTACGAATTAGAGTAGGCTGTTATGTTTTAATTTGTTTGTACAACCACTGGATTGTCAAACAAAGTTGATTAAGAGACAAAGTGATTGACTGTTTGGTTTTGAAATTCGGAAGTATTAAGATATTATGATAATTTAGAATACTGACAAAAAAAAAAATGAACTAAGGGTACTTAATCCACTATTATTGATTTTAACAGAATTACCTACTCAAATTGATTGTGGGTTTGTATTGTTTAGGTAATACCTTTGAGTGATGTAAGAACCTTTTTAATCAATTGATGATATTGACGATATTATTATGAGTGATGATTCATATTGTAATACAAATAATATAATTGGACATGAGTCATGAGTCTAAAATAGAGAACTTGACAATTTCACAAAGTACCAACAGTACCATTAATGTAAAGATATTTAGAAAAGTTGAACCTTTTGGAAGAAAAGCTCACCCAATTATCCAACGTGTTTGATAGAAGATTGTGATGTTTCAAACAGTTTGGTTGTTTCATGGTATTTGATGTTTGACGATATTTGAATTTCAAAAGATGTCTGTGGTAATTTGTGATTTTGTTGATGTTTAATAAGTATGTATTTTCGAAATATGTAAAAAGTAGAAAATATAACAATTCTTCACATTTTTATAATAGCAGTAGATAGTAGATATATATGTATCTATTTCTATATAAATAAGAGATCAAACAAACAAACTCACTTCACTATAGCTTTTTCCGTTCATTTGCAAGTTTGATACTGACAGATTGACTTATAAGAAATTGCCTCGTAGTTGTTAGTGATTAAAATTAGGTGTTCTGTGACAGCATGGTGGTTGGGTTATTGTATAGGTGGTTGCCACATTGGTCCCTTTTGAGTAGATGGGGTGTAAGGTGGTGATTCCAGAGTAAAAGAGTAGGGAGAGAAGATAATGAGAAAAAAGAGGAATGAATGTAGTGATTGGTAGCCATGGTTGCTGCAATGACAGAGAGAAGATGCAAGAAGAATAGAAGTTAGAACAATAGGATGAAGAAGAAAATCAATTTACTACTACTGTTAATTGTGCACTTTGTCCCTAATTATATGATTATTTCTAAATAACAAGGAGTGATCCGCACATGTACCAAATTATATGGGGGTAAAATGAAATTTACCCTATATAATATAGGGAAAATTACTATGTGGTGATAATCTCATACACTTATCACAATTTTATGGAAAATTTATTATTTTAATTATTAATATTTATAAAATTTATCATTTATTTATAGTAATTTGTTAAAACATGGATAAAACTAAAATCCTCCTCTTAATTAGGGGTGTAAAAATGGCTTGCGGCCCGTGAACAGTCCAAAACCCTCCCATGGCCCAGAGTGGGCCCGATCCCAAGCCTAGCCCAAGACCCTAGGCCCAGGTCATCATTTTGAAGCCTGGCCCATCTGCCCGCTTAAAGCTAACTCAAAGCCCGGCCTGCTCGAGGCCCAGTGTCTTTTTTGGTAGAAAAAAAAATGTTTAGGCCCGGCCCACTGGCCCATTTGAGGCTCGAATACCCCCCTAAACTTGGGCTTGAGCCTAATTTTTTCACCCGTGGATCAGGTTGGCCCGACCTAAAATTTGATGGAACCCATGCGGCTCGACATGAGCCCGTAAGAGCCCAAGGCTAGGTGGTCCGAGCTGAGTCAGGCCAAATTTACACTCCTATCCTTAATATGTAGTGTACCCTCATTTTCTTACCATTTGGTTTGATTTGATTACTATTTTACATAATCATTTTTTTATTTTTTGTTTAAGTTTTTGAGTAAACCAAGTCTTTGATAAACACCAAAGAGTCCATATTCGGCAAATCGTTTGGAAAATCGATTTTGAATCAAATTGCCAAAAATGGACTGCTTTGCCAGATACAGAGTCGCCACCTAAATATTTTTTGAGAAATTTAGGAAACCCATGACTTGTGCCAAATGCCACGTGTCCGTCATCACTAAGATTGTCTCAGCTCGGGAACTTATGTACGAGAGGGGAAGGTTACGAATACTTTTGAGCACCCCTATTCGCCCGATCAAAGATCGGCCTCTACTAAGCCTGATATGAATCTTATGTACATTCACTACAAGAAATTAGACTTTCGCCGACCAAAATCTTAGTCGCCAAAGGTCACTTTTTTAGTCGCCAAAACCAATTAGCGACTAAATTTTTTTGTCGCCAACTTAGTCGCCTAAACCCTGTCGGCGAATGTTTTAGCGACTAAACACGAGTTTGGTCGCTGAAAATGCAACATTTGGCTACTAATCTGTGTAGTCGGCAAATGTTACCCTTTGGCGACTAAAAAAATAGTCGCTGAAAAGGTAATTTTTAGCTACTAAATCATTGGTCGCCAAACGTCAACGTTTGGCTACTAAAGTTGGGTTAGTCGGCAAAAGTGATATTTTTGGCGACCAAAATATTAGTCACCGAAAGTTATAACAAAACTAATTTGAACTATTTAGAGACTAAAGTTTTAGTCGCTAATTGAACTATTTGCCGACCATGGCATTTAGTCACCAAAGGTTGCCAACTTTTATTCATTTTGCTACTACATTATTAGTGGCCAAAACATTTGAAAATAATTTTTGGCTACCAAAATAGTTAGTAGCCAAATGCTATATTAGAAATTTTTTTTTTTTTTTTTTTAATTTCTGAACCACCTGTATCCATTATTAGTACAACCTATACAATGTATAAACAATAAAATCCATCAATACTAAATATATATTATCAACCATCAACAATGTGCATGCCAAAAATTCCATTCGACATCCAATTCCATTCCATTCCACATATGTAATACAAATTCCATACGACCCAAATCTATTCCAACCTCAATAATTTAGTAATACAAAATATGTAATACAAAATATATTCCCTCCATTCGACATATGTAATACAAAATATCAACCTGATAATCAATCCTAAAATTAGTAAATAAAATTGGAGTGTAAAATATATAATTCTGGTGCTGCATTCTTAAATATACATTCGTTTCTGAGGTTCCACAAGGACCAAAGAGTTATTGTTAGGATGGCTCCCCCCACCCAACACACACACACTACGGATAGCCCATTGTGAACCCCACCAACTCAAAATGGCAGACACACCCTCCAAACAAAGGGACAATGCTGTAGCACGTGAAGTGATGATTCCTCCTCATTCTTGGACAAACCACAAAGTGTAGATGCATTGCCATTAAGGACTCCAATTCTTTGCAAGAACACTACAGTTTTGACCTTATTCTTCCAAGCAAGCCACCTAAAAAACTGAACTTTAGGAGGAAGAGTATTATAGATTGCAAGCAGTATGAATTATCAACAACTTAGGGCCTGTTTGGACATCTCTTCCCTCAACATACCAAACACATTAAAATTGATTGTCATGTTGTCTGGGATAAAATTCACGATCCAAACTTGAAGGAGCGTGTTAGAGATACAGCTGCATATGCTTGAAGACAGCCCCTAATTAGCAATTTTATTCAACAAACATGGGCTTTGATTGTACATTCCTTGTATCTATTCTGACAGTTGTGTATTCTTGGATTCAACCCCTTGATTTCTCTGCTAATTTGACCTACAATGACATGGCATGCTAGGTGTCAATTTTTTATTTGTAACAAATTCAACTATGTAAGGCTCCACTCCCTTCCCACATCATTATGGGTGAATTTAGCAATCTAAATTGTGGGTTTTAACATTTCTCTTACATATAATGAGAAAGTGAGATGCTGTATTAATTCATGCTGCAGCAATTTCATGTCTTTTACTCTGTTCTAATCAGAGCAGTATGAGAAAGAACAAAAACATACCCATGTGGGGACAAAGAAGGAAGCAGAAAGAACCAACATGCCTGCAGTGGGAAGGGAAATAGCAGGTGCACCTCACTCTCCTGATTCTCTTCTTGTCCTTCTTCCACACCATATGGGTCCTGACCAGAGCTTGTGAAGGAGAGTACAATTCATTGTTGCTAGAGCACAGCTGAAATGAGTAAAGACATAAAATGAATCCCACTGGGTTGAATTTGAAATTAGGTGATTATAAATATGATACATACACATTTATATATTTTTTTGATGGTGAATTAATTTAAATAAATCACATAAAAAACTAAATGCTCAAATACTTCAGAGATACTTGCCATCAACAATCCCCATTCTTTGTTGATTCCAACACCAGTTACCTTCAGACAGCAAAAGAGTTTATTATATTCATGCTGAAAGCATAACCAAAATTGATTATATTATGAAAAAGCATAGGAAATTATTCCAAGACCGAAAATTAGGGTTTAAAATACGTTCTTTTGACGTAAAAGTATATATAGAGAGAGCAAGAGAGGGAAATAGAGAGTTAATTTCCAGATTCTGCAAATGCATGAATAGGATGTTCATTCAACAATAAGACAAGACCAACTGGAAATTAATAAGACAAAATAAATAACAACAGAGGTCTAATATTGCATACATCAGGAAAATTACATGCGTAGGTACTTTACCAGCATAGTTTTAGCAAAAATGGTACTTTACCAACACAGTCTTACATATATTTCATAACAAGATCTAAATAACTTACAATCTTGCTTTCCCCAGTCATGCTAGATTCATCGATGGCAAGAGAATGACCAGAAATTATGATTCCATCTGCTGGGACCTGGGAAAAATGGAAAGGTAACAACCTATTTTTTCTCGTGTTCATAAGCAGTAATATCTACAGTTGCAATAGTGGATTCATAAAAACAAATTTGTATGTCCGACAAATCAAACCCACTTAAATAGGCTACACTCACCTGATCACCAATCTTAAGAGGTATAACATCACCAACAACAATGTCATATATTGAAATATTTTCTCTCCTACCACCTCTTACAACCTGCATAATAATTCATAAAAATAACAATGTAGCATCCTAAGGTTAATAGATTAAAAATAAAGTAAATGCTTCATGTTGTAATTGCACACCTCCAATTGTATATTTCTCTTCTTCTTTTTTTTTAAATAACAATTTTGCTATCCCACTGCTCAAATAAATTATGAAAATGCTCTCCACGAGGAAGAAATTCTGCACATTATGAAAGTAGTGATAAGGAATGGAAACATCTATATAATTGCTTCATTCAACCAATTTAATTTACCTCTGAGAATTGCAAAATTATCTGGGATAGCCTAAGGACCTTAAACCATCAATATGATAAGATAGCAACTCAAGCAGCTCCAGCAGCAGCTACTCAAGCTCACAACAACAACAACAGCTCAGCCACAGCTACAGCAGCAGAGCAACAGCATCTCAGCCATAGCAGAGCAGAACAACAGACAGCAGCTTCATGTTCGAAAAAGTTGAGTTGAGAATTTTATGACATAATTTTAATTCTACACAATCAACTAAAATTAACTTTGATTTTATCTATTCCCAACCATAACAATAGCGTGATTCAAATGAAATTACATATAAAAGTATGACAGGAGGACATGAATACTAGTCTTTTTTTAATTCATTCAATGGGACATTAATTCTTTTTTTTTTTTTTTTCAAAAAGAAGATAAAATTCTACATTTACTATAAGATAATTCAAAGCCCAGTGGTTTTGCCAACTGATACATACTGTGAGTTTTTACCATTATTTGTATATGTGGTTTATGTTTAAAGCAAAGATCAGAAGGAAAAATTTGAAGGAAGAGAGAGTTACCTGACAAAGGGTAGCAGGGGATAGAGTAATTTGATCATAATACCGTGGATTCATTGTGACAATGACGACAATCGAAGACTTCGTTGTAGCAGGGAGCTCTAATGTGAATTAAGTTTGATATCAATGCAAAGCAAACATAGATGAAAGAGTGACAAGCAACCTTATCAGAACATTAGAGAGAGCATTTGGACCAGTAGGAACATGAACAATGTGACTGCTGTCATTATTGTTTACAGCAGCAAGAAGGGCTTCTAGCTTTTCTGCTTTCCCCTTATCTTCTTCACCAAAATTAACAATATCAAGGGCTACACTGTTCTTTTTTAACTCAACATGCACAAAGAGTCGGTGCAGTCGGGAAGGAGCACCTCCGGCTTAGGTAGGTGGGTAGGAGTAATATAGATGCTAGGATCGTAAGACACGACCCCAGTCTGGATAAGATTGACTCTTTTGGGAGGTGGAGTTTGGTTGTGTGTAGGGAGGGGGTTGGTTGTGACGTTGGGTTTTTCTGGTGGCAAAATCACATTTTTGTCAACGAGATCTTGAATCTCGTGACACAGCCTGAAACATTGGTCCGTATCATGACCGTGCTGCTGGTGATATGCACAGTACTTGGCTGGGTTGTGAGAGGGTGGAAGTGGATTTGGTAATGGCCTTGGCTCTTGGGGTTTTAGATGCCCCTTTCTGGTTAAGACCCCTAGAGCCTTAGACAAAGGCATGTACAGTGGGGTGAAGGTTCTTTGGCCTCTGGGCTGGTGTTTAGTGGTTTGGGTATTACTTCCGGATGCACCGGAGAAAGGTGTGGCTGCCATAGGTCTCGAAAGATGAGGGGGAATAGTGGTAACCATGCTCACCTCTGAAGCTCTTGCAGTTGCAGCACCACTCAGGCCCGCATTGTTGTTACGGTTGAAAGTCCTCCTCGGTTGTTCCCTATCCTGGTCAATCAGACCTTGCTTCATCGTATCCTCGATTTGTACCCCCATCTCGTGTAAATCTGAGAAGGTGGGAAAGGGGAGTACAATCATTTTCTGCATCAATTTCGGTTGGAGATTGCGCACAATCATCCTGATTTGGTCCTTATCAGTGGGCCTCAAAGTCATCATCGACGCCTTTGCCCTCCACTGAGTTACAAAATCTGAGAAAGTTTCCTTGGGCTCCTGCCTTGTCGTTTCGAGATCACGAGTTATAATCTCGATCTGGGTGTTGTACGAGTACTGTGCGACAAAGGCCTCAGCTATTTCATCCCAGCTTCTTTTTACCTCATCCTCTAACTTCGCGTACCAGATAGCGGCCACACCCGACAGGGTTCGGCCGAACAGTGAAAGCTTTTGTGGTCGGGTTAGGCCTATTGGCCGCAGGATGTCTGAGAATAGCCGAAGATGGACCATGGAGTCCCTGGACCCGTCGAAGCGGTCAATCTGTGGCATCTTGAACCTATCTGGCAACGTTACGGCCACATCGGTATATCTGTCCTCGATATCCGGAATAGCCTTTACTCCTTGTGATTTCTTGAAGAGCTTTTCAAGCTTGCTCAGTTTCAGAGCTGTATGGTCTATTTCGAACTCGAAGGGAGAGTCCGAGTGGTTGGATGTGTGGGTCTTGGACAGTTGAGGCGGAAGCAGGGGCGGAGCTGGCCCTGTTGGAAGGTTCGTGTCCTCTTGTATGTTCTGGATATTTGGCACGGTATTCTGGGTGATTGGCAGAGCATTCTAGACAGTAGGTGCCTGCTCGGGTAATGGAGCCCCTGGCGGAGGAGGAACTTGATGTGAAGCAGATACCGCATTCTGCTGTTGCAGTCTAGTGATTAGCTCGGCCTACTGGGCCATGATCGCGGCCTGCTGTTTAGAGAATTCCGCTTGACGGGCGGCATCCTCCTGCATTTGTCTCATGCTCTCCTGCATTTGGCGCATCAAGGCTTCCATCCCTGATGTATTTTGCTGAACCATCCGACTAACTGGTATGTCTATTTCTATAGCAACAATCGAGACCTCAGTCCTATTGTCCTCTGATGGAGTAACCCACTGTTCTGGCAACCTCTGTTCTAACACACTGCGCTTTCTTGGCATTCTTCTGACAACGGGAGGTAGAGAATGGAACACTGGCTGTCCGTCAATTAGATCCTCGGATTGATTGAGTCGACGACCTCGTGTCCAAAGTGCTTAGGGAATGTCTACTGGGTTGGAAGCAATTGTGGTAGAACTGCCCTAGTAAAAAGATAAATAAAGCAATAAGGAAATAAATAAATAGATAAACGGACAGCATAACAGCTTAAAGTAAATGCATGACACACAGCCGGGCATAACAACACACGGTCGATAAGCTGAATACACACTGTCCTCAATCACTGATTATTATCCCTGAATCACTACCCCCAAAACTGAATCTCAGATATCCACAGATAACTGATTTCGCCAATACTGACTGATGCCCGCAGGCCTGATGCCTAAACTCAGTGCCTGA